TTTCTCCGTTACTTCTTAATTTTCTTTACGTTGAAATCTCTCTCTCACGTTGAAAGAAATCTACTGAAAACGTTGATTGCACCACTGGCATGGTATATAGTATAAACTACGTACCTGTGTGTGTGTGTGTGTGTGTGTGTGTGTGTGCGCGCGTGTGTGTGTTCTGTGTGTGTGTGAGAGTATAATCTCCAGATTTCTCACATTCCGTAGCAGTTTGCTCATTTTCCAGTTTCTTGGCTCGCGTATCGTAATCTCTTTCTCCGCGTTTCTTCCAAGCGTGACGATCCCTCGTTGCCGTAATTAGCAACGCGTAATTAGCATCGTGTAACGAAGAGATGCGGCGAGGAATCTCTCGAGCTTTAATGTGTTCGACAATGTGTTTCGTCGTTGTGCTTTCTTTGTCTGGTTTGTATCGACGTGATGAGATGATTGTACTTGTACTCTTTATATGCACGAACGGTAGGTCTCGAGGGGACTAACTATACAAGGCTTTCGCGCAATTATATTAACATCACACATACATACATACATACATATATGCCGTAAGATTTAGTTATATCTCGCGTTTGTAGAAACGACACACGCATCCGAGAATACATGAAAGAAAACAAGATGCGTATATGGCTGCGCTCCCATTGACTCCCGTTTGTAAGTAATAAACGTTGTCATTATCAATAAACGCGAGTGTCAAATTAAGTATCAAAGTCAAGGTGTCCGGTCGACGCAACGCGACGCGACGCGACGAGACGGTACGCAGCTATACGATATCCTTATTACTTTCGTTAGACAGGTATGTCTTTATCCGATTAATTATCCTTTGTCCTCACCAATTCTTTTGTACTATATACCAATATATCTTTGTACGAGAGATATTGTAATCGAGTCCCGAGGTTCATAGTGAAATTTAGCGGGACGACAAAAGCGAAGCATATTTAAAAATTTTGCCGTGTCGTCGTCGTCGTCATTGTCATCGTCATTGTCATTCTTTCATTCTTTCAACCGAATGTTCGACCTGTAATTCGAAAGATCTTTGGGTTAAATGTGACTCAACTGGGGAAGAGAAAGAGAAAAACTGTAAAGCTGAACTGTACTCTCGAGAAACTACGATATATATTTCTTTTCTTCATAAAAATGGAATCTAGGCATGTGACACGTTGATGAGAGTTATCGATTAGCGATTATAAGTACTTGAGAGACTATGTGATGTAACGATGACAGAGATCATCTTAGGATTAGACGTTAAAATTGCGTGCGTATCCTGGGTGTGTCGCGTGTGTCCGCTTGAAGCTCTCTGATCACTCATTCTCATCGTTGCACGTTCCAAATGTCGCCTGCGCCCCTACGAATTAACGTACGATTACGCATACACGTGAAAACGTATTTCATCAATATTTTGAGATATTGGTTGAGATCGGTTCAACCAATTTTATCATCGATAAGCGATGATGACGGAGTCATGTCATCAGTCATATTGGACTATTGGAGGAACGATCAGATCGCGACGAGCGAGCTAGTCTTGCCGATGCGATGCCGATGCGTAGGACCAAAATTATCCGCGTCTCTCTCTCTCTCTCTCTCTCTATCTATCTCTAACTCGTTATGGCTTTTGCACACAGGACGCGGAAACGCTTGCCGCGCGGTAAGAAGCGACGCGGTAGCCAATCAACGTGTTGTTTTTCCGTAACAACCAAAAGTTTATTTCAATCCTTATCTTGTGGCATACGATATTTGTATAACGTTATATTAAAGAAATAAGAAAGAAGGCAAACAAGGATGGATATAAGATGGAAATAGCGAGTTTTTATATAGAATACACAAACGCGAGAAGAGTATATGTTCCGCAATATGTGTTTTGCCCACTTCGAAGGAAACTGAGAGAGAAAGAGAGAGGGGGGGGGGAGCGAGAAAACTTGCACGTCTGGCTGAGATTATCTCTCGAAAGTGTACGAACGTCACGTCTAAGAATCTTTTACCTAGTTTAAGAAATAATCGAACTTTAGGTGTGATGTGATTTGATTCGTCTTAGCTAAACATCCATTTTTGCACTTCTCTTCGATTGAATTAAACAAGCTAACAATAAGTGTGTAAACTTAATATATAGTCACTCACACGGCGAAAATCGCAAGACGATTACCGTTATTATTCTGCGTTTCTGCGATCAGCAGGAAAGATGGGATCGAATCCTCAGTTGTCATTGTCAGATAATATAGTAAATATTATTTCGTTCGTGTGATGTCCAAGTATTTATTACAGTAAAGTGTTCATTACGGTATTTCTGTATATATAATTATACTTTTTACGCGATACGTTTACAGATTCTTTTACAAAATGGATTTTATATAACGGAATTTTAGTTAGAATTAATTCGTTAAGGACCGTCTACAATAGCCGTAAGAGTATGCAGTAAGACGTAAGCAGTAAGTTACTGACTAATGGGATTTTTACAATTCAAGAATAATCAACTGTGGTTGGTCAATAACTTACTGGTTACGTCTTACTGCATTACTCTTACGGCTATTGTAGACGCGGTCCTTTACACATTTGTGATTCAATAATCCTCCTTTATTGTTAGTAATAATCAACGCTGTACTTTTTCCAATAGAATTCTAGCAAGGAATTTCATGTTATTTATAACGCACTTTTGCTCCCATTTGTTCGATATGAATTCAGAATTATATTGAAAGGAAATTAAAGGAAAAGCACGCTAGCGTATTATAGCATGATAGCGTTACACAATTACGTGTATTCGGAGCTCGCGTATTCACAATCAGCGTATTCAGAATCGATTCGGATCCTCGGTCTCGGCCGGATGTACGAGAGATCTCGAAAACGAGTCCTTGTACTTATTGTCAGACTCTTAATGCTCTCGTCACTTTCTTCGATTGTGGATTCTTCGCGTTTCAGGAGGACTAACGGCGATACGGCACAGTGATCAATGATCGAACAAGCTGTGACCCTACGATAAATGCTGGATAAATGCTGAATTGTAAAACTTGGACGAGAATCCATTTGATGAATACTCGCGTATTCTTGAATGTTCATGTTGATGAAGGAGAATAGTCCTCCTGCAGATGAAGAAACGCGCTTGAAACTTTTACGCTTTGTAACCATTTTTAAAAGTGAGAATTCGTTCGATTTCACGAGACTTTCATTTCTCTTAATCCTCTTTTAGTTTACTTACTTTTTGCAGGAAAAATTCAACTTGGTGACACGTCAACGGGTTATACAAAAGATTATTCATTTTTTTATTCCCCCCCCTCCCTCTCTCTCTCTCTCTCTCCCTCCCTCCCTCCCTCTCTCCCTCCCTTCCCCCCTTCTTTTTTTCTCATCGATTATACATTTTTAGTGTATAATCGCTAAATTCATTATTACATTATTGGATCTATAGATAAATGAATAAGCGGTCGACTACAATTTTGTTCTAATATTAAGGGAATTAAAAACGAAAGAAACACACATACACAGACACGGAGCCGATTTATGCACGGTCCACGCACGCTCCACGTACGCACGTCGCTCTTTGATCAAAGATTCTCGATTATCTTGGTCGTTTTTCGTCTATCTCCCTTGAGACTAAGGATTGAAATTACAATTGTTAATATATTATCAACCATGAATTTATCTCTAAATGATAGTAACTTTCAATTCTGCTCGATGTTTGAATCCGTTTTGATCTTCTCAGCTAATAAGCAACACATAATACTGCGTACGAAAGATTTGTTTTGTTTTTAACGAGAATGTAGAATCCTTACGTATGATGTTTATAGATTATTAGATTTTCATATACATCAATATCCTCGAGCGGTATTTACTTCAGATCTTTATAGACATTCTTATTGTTAGTCTTGGCGACAAGTTTTATGAATGAGATCAGCTTCGCGAATTGTTCGGGATATGATATATATGTATATATGTCGGGATAAAACTCTTGATCTCAATCGCATTCTTGATGTACCGCACATACCGATTGTCAATCTTCTTCCTCCGCTTATCAGTGACTTAACTCTGCAAACTCTGCAAATATTGATAATACGATTGATTCATTAAGCAAAGTCGTCTTTCCCTTCACATTGGAAGAAAAAAGATAAACTCTGAACTGTGCAGCCAGTTCAGCAATAGAAAACATTATGTACATTATCTACATTACGTACATGCATTACGATCGTATTGTAACAGTTACGAGCCGAGATTTGTCGTATATTCAATGAAAGTCCTTATAATACGTGATACGTTTGATGAAACTTATGTTAAATGAAAGCAGTATTTGTTGGAAAGTTAGGCTAGAGAAGATCAAAGACCGTCGATGATAGAACTTTATCGAGCTCTCGATAAATACAAATAGTCATCTGATTAGGCGTCCCATTATATGTAATTCAGGACAACAGCCTGCAAATGTGCGATCTCTTTTGTACGTTTCTACTACGATCGCTATAGCCTGATAGCCCGCATTGTTTTGATACATTTACAATTCCCTTGTAGTGGTCTCTAACGTTAATATCACGATCATTTACATTTTGTTATTAATTAAATTAGTAAAATTAGATTCTATTATTGTACGTGTGGTTTTACTTTGTCTAGTTATTTCTTTTCCGGTTTATATCTTTTTCCCACATCGTTGATTCGAAATCAACAAGTATAGGACGTGATGTTTCATCGTCGCTACACATTCGCCACCGGACGACTTGATTTTACGATACAAGAAGATTCTTTCACGTTTGAGATATTACAATCCAAATTCTTGATAAAATGTCATAATAATTTTGTTGCACTGTACATTTTATTACGCATGCGATGTAAACGCCATCATTTTTAGAATTCTCTATCAAAATCTTTACGATAGACACAGAGTGCGAGAGTGAGATTGAGAGCGAGAGAGAGAGAGAATGGGTGTGTGTGTGTGTGTGTGTGTGTGTTAAATCATTATACGTGACATTTAACGTGTAGATGAAAAGGATCTCGACACTGTTGGAATTAACGAGGGGAATGACGATACCGCATTATTACACTATGCATTCGTTCACACTTTTATTATAAACAAGCTCCTCTTGATAATACATAATTGTAAAGACATGTTTATTCTTACGTGTACGTTGCTCATTTAACGATCGTTAGTCATATTCTACCAATGTGACTATCGTCGACTAAAATTTCACAAGCGGCGCGGCGACGTTACGCGAGATGCGACGTCGTAACACGATTATCGGTGATAGTCGATTTCTAAAATCCTCGGCGTTTTTTTTTCATAAATCTGCCTATCCCTCAAGTAGACACGATTACTGTTATCGATATACTTTATTGCTCTAACTCAAAAACCTATAAGGCATGTGTTACGGTTCGCCTTACGAAAAAAATGTTCATGTCCCAATAACGTTAGAATCACATTGTCCTTTTCTACGGGATCAAAATGTATTACTGACACTTCGTTCGTTGTATTATTCCTCGAATTTCGACGATAAATGTAAACCATAAACAACATACAGAACGAATGTGAAAAGCTGATCGTGCAATTTACAAGATATTTGTGCCTGCAGCTTTAACAACAGAAGAAAATAAAACGTCTCTCTCTTGATCATTCAGCTATAACCCAGTATTATGTATTCGCCCTCTCGAGCATGAAATATAATTCTACAAAATTCTGCGACATACTATTTTAATCTTGACACATATTCAGAAAATATTCAAGCAAGAGATTGTAATAATTAAAATAAATAGTTAAAGTCTCTTTCTACGCGTGCGAAAATCAGACATAAGATCTTAAAACTTCAACAATCTCCGATTGCACAAGTTGATATTTATCCTTATCGCCAAAGATATCTAGACATCATTGGCAATAAGCAAAAGAGGCGATAATCGCCTATATCTATTTGGAGTCTAATAACGTAATAATACGAGAAAATATGTACAAACAGAGACGAAATGTTTTTTATGGCAAGCCTTCGACCAGCATGCTAATTTTGCACCGCTCATTTCATCGACAACAATCTCTTTGAAAAATATACGAAGCCGTATGATAATGACATACAACTCGGATAAATAATCATAGCTGCTAATATACTTGCTGATAATCATGTATGTAGATAATATTATAAACGTAAATTATATACACAGAGATTGAAACTCTTGTTTTTCAACACACTAAAGAGAATACGGATTCACTATAAATATCGATTGTGACACAAGGTGGCAAAAAAAATTTATTAAACTTCGGTATTCGAGAAACCGCGAGTACCGATCAATATCCATTCCAATTTGATACCATCGTCATAAGCGCAAAGTATATACGGATACGTAATGATGTTTACAATGCCATCAGATATCTTGTAGATGCATCTATACATCAAAATACCGTTCAAATTGAAATTTACGTATATATCACAAGATCTGTTCATGCCGATCAGGACCCTCCATATTTATTGATCCATATTGATTTGATCGGTAAATTAAAGCATTATCATAGTCGCAATTTCGCAATTGATGCGCGAATTTCGTTTTTATTATCGTTACTACTTGCAGTACCGTTGAAGACGACTCAGCCACCTCGTAATTCGCCGCCCTCGTCGCTGCTCCGTCTCCTGTTGCGACCTCGACCTACAAAATAATCAACATGACTCGTGTAATTTTGTCATACGAACAGGAATGAACAGTAAACGCGGTCATCTTCTTAAATATATTCTCAAATAACTTGATATTATTTGTATTATCTGTTTCACATCAACAAACAAAAACAGATGCGCAAGATCACAGTTTTGAATATATTGAATATATTGAATATAGTTGTATAACAGAGAAAAGATGATAATTAAGGAGGTTGTAAGAAGAGACTAAGAAATGTTAAGAATGGCATAAAATTTAAAACTTTTTAAGCTTTTTTATAAATAATGTCAGCAAGTGAATTTTTTTAGATTTTTTCCGGCCAGTGTTGAGAACATTTATAACAAAGTATGTGATTTTTTAATGGATTCTAATGGGAGACTCGCGATGCTGCATATCAATTACATCAATAAAAAGGTCTATTAAAAATGTTAAGAACTGAATAAATTTATATTTAATATACATATAAAGAATATCATACTAAAAGTTCTTTCAAATATTTGAAAAATATGACCACTTATATGATTTCCTCACAGTAATCGCAAAAATTCTTGTAGTTTCTTATAAATGTTCTCAAAACCTAACGTGATAAAAATTTTAAAAGATTTACATGCTGACATTATTTATAAAAGAGCTTATATGCAATTCTTAGAATTTTCGATTCTCTTCACAACTTCCTTAATTAATTTTTCGAAATTATTTATTTTTTGTCCTTAACTTAATTATTCAGCTGAAAAAAATTATATATCAAAAATTAGAATAAATTTTAAGAGATATTTAAGAGAGAGAGACATAGCATCATACATAAAAATTTATATATGTATACGTAATATTCTATGCGCTATATTCAGCTACATAAATACATGCTAAAAAACGATATTCGCACAAAACTATCCCTTGTATATGTAAAATAAATATATTTCCAATAGACTTTTAATTGTTAACGTTAAATGACATTTTAACATCCTAAGTTAGGAGTAAAAAAATTATATATAATTTTTTGCAAACTTATCACAAACTAATTTTTTTTCAATACACATCCAGAATTTAAAAATAATTTTTTAAAGTTGCATTTTATTACACTACTTTTCTTTTAATATGATTTTAATGAGAATTCGGGATTAGAGTATTTATCATTGCACATATATCAAAAACTTTTCGCCAATTAGTGAAACAAAAATTTTATTTCTCGCAGTTTTGAGATGCACGCAGTAGCGTGACTTTACATTAAGTGTAATCATCCAACAACTACTTGTAAATTTCGTATTTGTTACTCGTATATAATATTAATAACGGCGCTAGTCAGATCGATGAAAGAATTGTAGCATTTTTTTATGTCTTACATCTTGGTTCAATTTCAATGATGCAATGATGACAGTAAACCAAGTATTTCATTTTGATATAATGATATTTACCAGAGACGTGTTTTTTGAAGATACCGAATCTAGATATATGCGTAATTTGAAATACCTAGTAATTAACATAAATAGCATAACCATGTCTAGAAAATATTCCAAATAAATGAAATAAAGAAAATCTAAATAAAGTTTCAAGAAAAGAAAGAAAAGAAAGGAAATAAATAAATGTTGCTAACTTGTTCAGTTTCGAACAACTCTAGCAAGATTGAGCAAGTGCGAAACATATTAACATTAATAATAAGATGTGTGCGTGTTAGGCATTATCAAAATAACTATAACTTATAATTTTATACATGACACTTATAAGAACACAGAAAAAAAACCGGTTTCTGTCAATTCATCGATTTTTATACTCAACTAAGAAATTTGGACAAGGACACGCCCAATGCAATAAAACTCAGATAAAGCTTTACATCTTCCAATGTCAACCATCATTTAATACCTGTGCACAACAGTGAGGAAGACTCCGAAAAAATCTTGGATTTATGTTTCCTACTTATGTATTCCTGTACATTAGTTAGTATAGCGAATTATCGCGAAGTGATCCCGAAGGGAATACTATTATAAATTTTCACTACCTCTGCGTATCTGATTGAGGCATGCCAGCATTCTGATCATAAAAACCGCAGGTACAGTAATTGTGTCTTTGGTCTCTTCCAACATAACTGCATTTCTTTTTTTCAGCTGAAAGCAAAATTAAACGTCAATTTTCAAACTTATTCTATCTTTCCATGTATGAGGATACTGTCAATACACTGGTTTCTTTATTCCTATTTAAATAATTCAAAATAAAAAACGGCTTACGTCTTCCGCAAACTTTTCGTCAAAGCTCGGTTCGTCGTTGATCGGCGCCCACAGTTTCACGTCGTAATCAATGCCGGAAGTGGCCAGCATTGGAAGATACGGATGCGGTTGCAAGCAATTGACTACGTGTTGATCCGCTTCCAGCAACATACATAATCTTGCGCTGTCTCTTTCCCATACGAACACGTGACCGCAATCGCTACCCGACATGACGAAATCGTTGCCCCAGAAATTCGCTTCCTTGATCATGGTCCTAAAGAAACTAGAGTCAAAAGTGGGGAAAAGGCAAATAGTCAGAGATAATTCGGCGACTTTAATATCGCACAGTCCGCCCAGTCCGCTCGGAGGCTTTTTCGGAACTACTCAGGTCAATGATTTGGCTTCCGATCTTTCAGACGTTTACACGTTGGTGCACTTTGATTAGACGAGGACTCAGTTATAAAGTTATCGTCATTCAAGATGGCAGCGACCAAACTCGCCAAGTAGATTTGATGAATGGTGATTACAAACTATGTAATCGGCATTACAAATCGACATTCCTTCGTCCCTCGTCAACTTCTTGGCGTAATTATTACTTAATATCGTGTTAATCTAATAACTACCAATAGCTACTAATAAATAAATACTAATGGTCCTCACTTCTAAACAATTTCTATACAAATCACTCACATGAATTTAACAGCATATACTTAAGAGCGCGTGTGTCGCTCTCATTAGCAATTTGGAGTTTGATGATGCGATATTACAAGTCGAGTTAAAAATAGATCAAACCTGGCATTTCTATGTCCCATATATTTTCGTTTTACGCAGAGCTCCGTTAAATAGGCATCATCGAACGTCTCATGTCCTTGCGGCGAACGAGCATTGGCGATTGCTTCGTCCATCCCGTCGACTGGATTTATTAACCTGTAAATATCCAAATTATTGCTAAAGATGAAAAAATTTCAATTCTAGAAATACGAAAGGAAAAAGATATCAAAAATATCTTTTTTAATAAATAATATTCTTTTTTCTTTCGTATTTCGTTTCTAGAATAAGATATTCAAAGAAACGCGAGTAATTTAAGTAAAACCTTTATTGTAATGTTTCAACAGACCTTTCAGCTGATTGGATATCTTCGTCATCGCTATCAATGTACACAGTCTCTGTAACTTCTGCAAAAAATGCCACAAATAAATAGATTTATTAAATAAATATATAAACGTATAAATATATATATAAGTATATATGCGCGCACATGCACACACACACGCACGCACACACAATTTATAAAACGATGAAGAAGAGCTTTTAAAGAGAACAACACAATGATGATACTCACTTTTGTAATGACGACGGTTGCGATTACTGCTTGGGCCTGCGTCGAGAGTTCCATCACTACTTCCAGATGGTCCTGACAAATTACAAAGTCAATTATATTAATGTATATATTTGAGATAATCAAGGATTTCAACTACTCACCTGGATGGTAACTGTCGCGAGTCACTTCGTCCCCGACACCAAGTGATATTGTAGCACTAGTTGAGCTTTTGTCAGAATACGTTAAACTCACAGCAGGTTCACTACCATGTCTGTTAAATTAAATAGATATATTTTATTGGACATTCTCACATCTTCACATTTTCACGTCAATTTAAAATATATATTAATATTTCAAAGAAAGAAAACAGATCTCAATAAGATATAAATCTTCTTACCTTTCAAGGAAACCGTCCCGCATCGTTGTTAATCTATCCTGAAGGTTCTCCATCATATTCTCCTGTTTGCTAGTTATATTTGTACATGAGGTTTCATTCTCATTTCTGTTTCGATTCCATACATCATCATGCTCAGTTCTGTCATGACTGGTTGTAGATTTTACACAAGTGATTTGTGCTTGATCGCTTTGACTAGATTCAGTTTCCATAGGAACATCATCGTTCATAGTCGCGGATATATTCGGCGACGCTAATTGATTATATTCCTGAGGTTGTTCGATCTCTCTCGTTTGGGGTCTTTCAATATTGAGCGTTTCATCCATATCTGTATCTGTGCTTTCGACCCTATCAGCGTGCATACTTGTATTTCCTAAAAACGGCACTTTAATAAAATCAAGTCTGTGTATCGAAATGTATATCACACATGTGTATCTATTTTGTTTACCACTTGTTCCCGAAGTATTGCTTTGCTCTGCGCTCAATTCAACCGTGTCGTTCCTCTCTACATTCAGTTCAGGATTATTCTCAGCGTTTTGAATAACTTCTGGTTGCTCGATAACACCTTCCAAACTATCCTCACCTCCAGCACTCAGAGCAGCTCGTGTGGCCGGGTCGTTCAACATTCTGCTGAGCACGTCCGTCATTCTCTGCATCAAGGACGTATGCAACACCGGTCTTGCCTGAGCGATTTCTGACGAACGACATGTCATGATATTGGAATTTCTTGAACAAGATATAAATAAGATGTAAAATAAGGAAAATCAATTTACCTGTACCACTGCGACGTCCTCCTTCTCTTTCTGGACGCGCATCGGGACCAGTATCGGACCAATCGCCGCGAAGTCTCAAACGACGAACTGGTTGAGGCGATCTTAACGAATGCTTCTTTCCTTTTCCTTTTCCCATTGTCGCATCTTTTCGCAGCTGCAAACTCCCTTGATCCTGGATACAAATTCCCAAAATAAATTAAATGTAATAATATATTGATAGAAATCATAAAATATATGTATCTCGGGGAGAAATATATATTTAGATAAAATATGGAAGCAACATATTGTGACATGTTAAACGAAAAGCAATCATTGCGTTTTGCGTTACTTTGATACTGAATAAGTAGAGATGATCGCTGCTGTAGCTGACAAGGACGTCTTGTCCATCCGGGCTATAGGTCAACGACGTAATCCTGTAAGAATTGCCTTCGAATTCTGGGACAGTGAAACTGCATAGCGGTCTCACTGAACTTTCCACATTTGTCCAACCTAGAGAATACGCATACACATGTAATCACGGTACGCTATACCATGGCACGTAACGCAATTATGTCCCGTAAAGATTACCAGTGGCCGAGGTACCGAGAGTTCTCCTGTCGAACGTTCTTACAGTGCTGTCGGAACAACCGATCGCTATTTGGTGAGGCAATACAGGATTCACGGACAAAGCGGTCACGGCTCTTTGACACGAGATTAGTACATCCTAGAAAAATGTGATTTAATAAATGTATATCTATTCCGAATATACTATACATATATATTATGCATATAATATTAGTATAGTTTCAAAAGTATATTAATTAAAGTAAAAATTATAGCGAATAATGCCTACCTCTCTACATCTCGTAGCGCTACACTTGTCCTTCACCCTGAGATCAAACCATCTCACAGTCCCGTCTTCTCCACAGCTTAGGAAACTATGCGGCTCACCGGGTATTGTCGCTATTTCATAAGTAGTGCCGGTGTGACAAGTGAATTGATTATGGAACGTTTCCGTTCTTCTCGTCAGATCTGTAAACGCGATATTAATACTCGGTAAAAAAGATGACGCGATTGAAATACTCGATAATATCTCATTAATATATTTTGTCCAATCACACAAATAGTCCATTAATTTTTATACCTGTATACAAAATAATGCCGTCTCCGCTGCAAGAAACAATACGGTGATCTCCACTATTAGGCAAAAATTTGGCACTAAAAATATTTGCTCTGTGACTCGTCTTATAGTCCTCTAATACCTTAAATAGAAAAAGATTATCTAAAGTAATGTAAAAAAAATATAAATATTATTATTGTTAAAGTAATAAATAATATAAAATATCGTGTAATTTTTGTAATTTCTAGTTGTTAATTTAAATTTATCATACAATCAAAACAATCTCTGATATACGATCAATAATATGTACTTTGTTGTAATGTTATTCAAACAAAGAAAAGCAATGTGACATTATGAGCATTTCACCATGGTTTTAAATTGACAAGGTGAGTCTGGATTGACATGTATATTTGGTACACAGTACCAAACGATAAAATTGTGTGCATGTGTATCAGTGTATCCAATGAACCTACACCAGCATCCAACTTGGCATCGGCATCTCAGTATCTAACTATTTCAATGTTGGACCTTGACTACCCAAAATTAACTACCCAAAATATTTCCTTGAAAAGGTTTAATATCACGTGTTTAACGTTTAAATTTTTTCAACTACTTTTCTGCACACCCCACATATAGCTCAATAATATAAATAAATAACTAACATCTATCTTGTTATTAAAATAAACACTTTTTTCACATGACATAATGTAACACATAATAGAATAGTATAGTTTTATATACTTTATATAAGTATAAAGTAATTCAATGATAAATCATTATTAAATATCATTAATCAGTGTCGATCAAAACTAAGAACTGGTCTGAAAAATCTAAGTAGGATATAAGAAAAATATGTGGCTGTTTTCTTCTACAAATAAAGTAGCACAATCAGATCTAACAATTATCTCGCTACGTTTTACATTCCGTAGAAATGTAAAAATATAAAAATATAAAATTTAAAATACATTTTGCGTGGAAATATACATTATATCCTCAGGATAGAGTGTCAGAGGTGAAAAAAAATATTTTGAGGATCGCCGAGTGTAATTAACTTTCTAAACTAACACACGCGCGCGCGTGCGCACGCACACACACACGCACACAACTTTCAAGGATAAAATCAAAAATAATCTTGGCACAATCTTCTCTCTGACGGGGACAAATAAATTTAAAATTTAAAGGAAAGTGACGGAATTGCTTGATAGACAATTTGTGTCTGGGATAAGATAGTAATGTTTTTGCTGCTAAATTAAAATATGTTCCAATGTTCATTTAATATATTTAATATATTTAGTATTTAGGGTCCTGTCAAAATAATAATCATTATACTTATAATCTTAAAATCTTGATAAGCATACAATATAAATGTACCTCATAATTATGTGCATTAGTTAGAACAAGATGTTGATCGTCACTCCCAGACAGTATCAATTCCCCATTGCTATTCCAACAGATAGAATTCACGCACCCATTGTGGACCTTCAATCTCTTGAGCAGTGACATGCGCTGCATTAGTTGTAAGCTAGCTGTACGACAAGAAATGGATACTTGTGTCAAACGCGACAATTCATATAATCTATTGTAATTGAAATAAACATGAACTTGTAATCAGATGTAGCAGGATAAGATACAGGTAAACAACCTGTACCTTACCTTGTAAATTGTAGCCTGAGTTGAAAATGGCAAGAAAAGAACAGTAAAAGACGTTACAGATTGGAGATTGAATAATATACAACCAATATATACATATATATATATAACTCGAAAGAGACAACTTGAGCGAAATCATACACCCGTAGATGATACTCTGTGCGTCTATCACCTTTGCTGCTAGAGTAAAGCTTCAGCCTCGTGCAATCGTCGTATGGTTGGTAATAGATATCGCGGAAGATGCTGACGCGCGTCTTCCTCATGGTTGATCTTTCGGTGGAGTTAGCCAGCTGACTTTCAATCTCAACGGCGCACTCGGTCGGATCGCCGCTACCAGCCGCTACTCGCAGCAAATGGATCGCACGAGAGAATTATTGTCTAGTGAAATCGCGGGTCCTTCTCCGTCGAATTGTTAGGAATTCCGCGGCATGCAGTTACGCAGCAAAAATCCTGTCGATGCGTCGACGTGACATGGCACGATGGCACACTCGAAACTAAAAATAAACACGACGTTGCACTTGCAGCTCGCAGCTTGCAGCTCGCAGCTCGCAGCTTGCACCTCGCAGCTTGCAGCGCGGAATCGTGGTATCAGGTATCTGGTATGTACAAGGCTACAAGGTATTACGATCTCGACGATCATCCGCGCTCCCTCGCCCTCGCCCTCGAGCCTTGAGACAGCTGAGTCGAGACACTCGAGACTCGAGCTGGAGATGCTTCGGACTGTTCGGAGTTCGGACACTTCGGACAAACAGCTGACTGCTGAGAGATTGCTTCGTATATGTAAGATGTATGTACATACATTACACATGTACGTAAGTAAATATACACACGAATACCACCTTGACACAACCGCACAACACAAATTATAGTCTCAACACTCGCAACCAACGAACCGACTCAACCTCAACCGCCTCGGCGGTGCTCGGCTCGGCCAGCCTCGGCGTTACTCGGCGCTGCTCGGCATCTCTCGGCGTCTCTCGGACCTCTCGGTATATCTCGGGTATCTCGGGACTCTTCACTCTTACCGCTACCTGTGACCGCTACTGTCTGGCCATCTCTGGCTGTCTCGCAAGCGCAACGACACGCGAAGCTCGGGCTCGGGGCGCGTGCATATACTTACATACGTACAATATCATGTATGTACTTTTGTATACCTATACATTCCTAGTTCCTACATTTGTGCATAAGATTCAGAATGTTGTTTGACAAGACAATTAACCATATTAAATAGAATAAGTATAAGCTTTAGCATCACGTAAGGATGTATCGCATGAAACATAAAATAATTTAAGTAACAATTTCCGGAAACGACGTCCTTAAGTCGTATTTCGTATTGTCACATATATACACGGAGTGTCCCATATCCTACTATTAGTTAATAACAATTAATTATAAAGCTTATAACTGCAAATTTGAAAATTTTTATAATTTCATGTGCTTGAAATTTAGAACCACAAAAATTTAAATTTAAATCGTGGAACTCGACAAAATATAATCCTTTCGTCAATAAAGTAATAAGATAGAAGATAGCAATTACTTCAAGTCGGTAAAGTCACCGCTAATTTTATCGGTAAATTTTGTCGGTACGTTCATGTCAATAGTCACATGAATTTCGTCCATACAATTCTCGAATCATACATATACAACAAAAGCTAGGTAATTAAAGTAAATAAAATATAATAAAAAAAAAGTCACAATTTGACACACACGCAAAGTATTGTACTTTTCATTCAAATAGTAAATATAAATCGGATATACGTATATACTATTATCATACAAAACTCACTGTAAATAAATATTGTTTTTTTCTTTTGTGTTATTTTATCCCTCTAAAAAGGGATATTAATTTTAAGTTAAATTTAAAATAAAAAATGATAAACTGACTATTTATATATTTATTTATAAAATAAATAAATAAAATTATATTATTTCATTATCCAAAGCTGCTTCGTCAATAAACACGTAAACAATATTTGCTCAACTTTTAATAAAATTAGAAAAGATTCAAGGTTGGAAATTTTTAATACGCGATTAAAAGATTAATGTTATATCACAATTTACAATAGATTATTGCACATAATTTTACATTATATATGTATATAATAAAATGTATAACACACATAATTATATAAATAATATATCTTTATATTATATATTTTTCTACATTAATACATATGTATATGTGTATATATTATATATTATTATGTATTACAGATTAAGACAGAATGATTCTATAATAATCCACAAGATTAAATTTTCTATTTCTTACGATACTTTTCCGGAACATCCAATATATGAATTTTCAATCCGCTCTCGCCCCGAGAAACTTTCAGACGACGTTTCCTCTATTTTTAGATTAGACTACTCGCGCGAAGACTTAGGTCTTTTTGTAGTCCTCCCCCCTCCCCCTTCCCCTTCCCTCGAGGAGCGAGCAGGCTTTGGCGTGGCCAAGTAAAACTCAAAAGAATCACATCGAATCGCTGCTCGAAAATCGTTTCATTATATTAAGTGTTATTTCATCATTTCCGCCAAGTAAAGACAAAAGAACAAAACAATATTAATTCAACTCCTCATATTTGAGATTCATGATTAATCATACATTGGTATAACAAAATAAATATATATATATATATATATATATATATATATATATATATTCATAAAGTACACATTTCATTTTAGTTATACCTATTCTTCGATTCCATTGTAAAAAAATTTATTAAGACTTAATAATTGTGGCTCTAGAAAAAAGAAGAGTAGGCGTATTATTCTCATACCCAATCGTCGTCTGATAAGATTCCGTAAAATACGATTGTTTATTATCACGTACGGAAGCGAGAGATATTTATATGCCTTATCACGAAGAATTTACGAAATTATATGATGGCAAGGACCTTCAACTATATCGCAGGAATTTCTTAGTCGCCTGTAAACATTATTACAAAAAGATTCGTTTACTTAATTTATATCGAACTTTATATATGTACACGTTCTCTTTATATTTTGTTCATATACACACAAATTCACGGGCACTTCTTTCACATTAATAAGAAGTTTATAATTTAATTTATTTACGTACATAGACAAATACTGAAATTTCTCATAAAAGGTGATGAGAAGAAGAAAATGAAACAAATTGGCGTGTTCTTTAACGCTCTGTATTGAAATCTTAAAATTGCTTTTATTCATTAATAAATCCTCTTCGTCTTCATTTGAATCGTCGTCTTCGGAATCCTGACGACATCTTTACCTGACAGTATTAGAACCTTCAACTTCAATCTAATGCTGCCCGGTAAGATGTGAACAGATACTCCATCCGCCGGCAGCCATCTTGCCGCCACGTGAAGAGCATCTTTGCTCTTTGTAAGTCACTTCTTTTTTCAACTGCACTTTCTGGCACATTCTCTCTTTTTTTCTTCTTTTATCCGCTGGATATCCGATACTTGACTTTGGAATGTGGACCTTGTCGAAATTACTAAAAAAAAAAAAAGAATTAAAAAATGACTATAGGTATATTATACGTATATTTTTGACTGATAATGTCTAATTACGTTCATGTTTCTTTTTCTCTCTCTCTCTCTCTCTCTTTCACTCACTCACTCACTCACTCAATAAAACAATTTTACATTAAGAAAATTAATAAGTGTGCAAGCATCATTTTCTGATCATTTATGAAATCGAAATATCATAGAAGTCACATTCTCGTTCAAGAATTACGGGAAAGAACGTGGCCTCAAATTGTCAAGTCTTTTTTTTTAATTGCGTTTTACATTGAGCGACGCTTATGTAGTGGGCGCGCAGCATATTTCACGTTTTCTCTCTTGCTTTCTAACCATATCTACTTTTCGGTCACTCGCACGGCCACATTTAAATATTTAAAACGAAAATCCTCAGAAACGACGGACGATCCCTGCATTTATATGCAGGTGTCGTCACAGCAATATTCGTGAAAGCGAGTTCCAAACTGGTCGTCGCACCAGCGCGGCTTAAACGAATGGATTATATAGGTGACAAAAATAACGCAACATTTCTTTATTTATAAAATATTTAAAAGGAAACTAATATTATAAATCATAATCTTATATATACCATTTTTTGTTATTTAATATATTTGTTTTTTTTTTTACATAATGTAATTCCCCTGATTGTATAATAAGATTAAAGTAAAATCATAAACAAATAACTTACAAACATCTTACAAGATATTTGTTTATAATTTGTTTTATTTTAATATTTTGACGTGAGAATGATGCGAAATATTTAATTAAATATTCATTTTTGCGATAACTTCTCACTCTAATAGTTTTATACGATTAAATAATGAGACGAATCAGTAAATTTGAGAAAAAAATGTGCAATTTGCAATGTACGTATATAAAAGTGACAATCGCTCGATACTACTCGCAACTGGTACGTTATACTGATTCTGATGGTTGTATCGATAACTCTTTAGGAATATAACTGTATAAGACTGATATCCACAATGAACATTAACACACTTCTTAAAGACGGCTGCGTCTGACAAATTTATTTACGAATAATTTCCTTTATTGTGTGCAGATATTTCAATTTTCATTTGTTTAAAGAAAGATGTAACAGCTTAATTTAATATTAATTAAGTTAACTTTGAAAAATCTCAAAAAATTAAATTTAAAAAGTCAACGTTTTATAAATTACTTTATTTTAATTTAAAAAGAAAATAAAAAGATAAAAATAAATAAAGCTATGAAAATCAAAAAGTGAGAGAGTATTCTCAATTAATCACTAAAGTACTTAATGTCATTTCCTTATTTCTTTGCCTGCGTGCGATCGTGGCGAAATGGGTAAATGCAAAGCAATGTGAGAACAACGTAAGTAAAAGGAAAAAAAAATTTTACCGAGGCGGTAAAGTTCAGATCGGAGACTGAGTTACTGTGAGTTTGTAACAGAATACGCGTTATGCTTTCGTACGTATCATTGTATTATCAATAATTATCTAAAGTGTTGCAGTATAACGACAGAAGACCGATAACCGTCGAAAATCGTAATCTCGAGGAAAAAATTTTCATCATTTTATAAGCATCGCTCCATTGGAGAATTAATGTTCAAACACACATTTTTGTATTATAATATTATATTACTGTATACAATATAAATAGAATTCTATATATTTTTATATAGAAAATTAATTGTACTATATACTTTTACATAAAGGCGTTGTACTTGGCAACGTTACATCTTATTCATTTTCTCTTACGATTGCAATCCTTCATATAGAATTATAGAAAAATGACTGGAAATTTTTTCATTTATAGGCAAAAAGTGGCGAAAACAAAAAGTACCGAACTATAGCAGAATAAACGTAGATGTACGTGATATTAACGTGTATCGATATCCAATGATTCTCTTAACATTCGACGAGCTATCGAAAAACACTTGTTCAAACCGAAATCAATCTGTATCAATATATTGATAATTTTGACACTGGTTTCGAGATATCGACAAGATTACTGAATATAATATACTTAAAACCCTTATTTAATATGAAACTGAATAATTTATATGTCTTTTCTTTTCTTATATGTGATGTGATTATAACATAGAGATAAAACAAAAATTGCTGTAAGAAAAGTAATAATTATTTAGAAACTGATAGTATCTGCTGCTTGATATTGTCAAGTCGATATCAAGAGAGAATGAAAAGTATCTCGTATTTAAAAATGTATTATTAGAAGAAAACAGTCGTGTCTACTGTAATTCCGAAAATTTAGGAAGACATTAAAAGACTTGGACAAGTAATTACGAAATGTGGCATCTTACGAAAGAAAAATCGTTTCTAAATATTTAGATAAGCAAATTAATCAGAGTGTACATATATATATTTTTTTTATAGTATCTCG